ATTACGTGACTGGGATATTCTAAAGTTATATAGATGTTTCAAATTACATAGAAGGTATTTATTTTGAACCATATTTTTAATACAGTATTAAAGAAATAAACAAACTAATTATGTAGCATCCCGCATAATTAAATGCATGTGTGTTTCTTACTACACTATTGTAGAAAGTTATTTATGTACCCTTAGAAAATAATACGCCAATAAAATTTCTTATTTGAGAATTTTTTGTTTCTTTTAATTTCGAGGAAAAAAAGAGTGGTGATCTTGACTCTCTTGTATAAGTCATTAGCATCTAGCATATTTATTTATATGTTACTCGGATGCGAAGTAACATATAAGTGTGCCATCTGGATTTTTTTTCATGTTTATTCCTTCGGCCTTTCTGGCAAGACGAAAGACTGATCAAGAACAATATTTTTTTCATCGTCCTCTGCTGTCACACTTTTTTTTTTTTTTTATTTCCATAGTACTTGCCAAATTTTCACATTCTTTGCTTCGAAACCATTTTACATCATTTACATTTTTTTTTTCATCCAATATTTTCGTCATCGTCATCATCATCATCATCATAATTTATTGCTTCGTTCCATCTTTTTCGGTATTATTTACGGTATCCTAAATCTTTCTTGTTTTATCTTTCGTTACTATCGTTTATTATTTAGATATAATAAACCAAGATTAATCCATTAATCATAATAACATGATTATGCAATGCATTTATTTTCATCGACAAGCCAAATTACGTTTTTAGCTATACCAACAATCTTATTACTTGATTTCGTGGTCGCTCAAGATCAAGGTGAAAAAACAAATTCAAGAAATCGATAATAAAAAAAATAAATTTTATAAAATAGTTAATAATAAAATTTTGAATAACAAACAATTCTTTTTAAATGATTAGATACTGATCAACAATTTGATGATTATCAAAATGATTTGGTTGCTGTTATAGCTGTTGTTTTTGGACACATAAATCTGTGTGCAGGTCTTTGTGTGGTAATTTTCAAATTTTATTTATTCAAATTTCACTAGCATATTATATATTCTAATCATTTAATTATATTAATATCTTTAGATATATTCGGCATTTATAAAATGGCGTGCAAGTTCTTTGTCAATATCAAACCGTATTCCATTATATTTTAGTTTTATTGAAATCTGCCAATGTAAGTTTATTCTCGATCTTTTGATTATATAATATTCACTTTCATGTAATATATACAGTATATATATTTTATAAATAGATTTCGTATTTATGCCGAACTTTTTGTATTCTCTGGTAAACGATAAAGTAATTCCCGGAACCGGTTGTAAAATTCTTGCATATCTACTCTTATTACAACTTACTACAAATATGATTTTAATGGCAAGCATAGCTATGACTACCTATATGGTAAGTTCCTATTTCTATTATTACATACTAATTTTTCATGGTATTTAATCTTAATTAATGTAATAATAGAGAATTGTAAAAGGCAAAAACATTTCCTTAGGAACATATGATTGGTAAGTCTGATGCATCACATGATAGGTCATAAGACTCATTATCACTTATCATTTTTCGTATTTCGACAGGAAACTCCTCGTCTTTGTCATTGTCTCTTCAATAATAGTGACAATACCCTCAACCCCAGCTTTGGGCCCTTCACGCTTTTGGTGTATGACTTTATATGTGCAAAAGAATGAACTATTAATTGACGCATATACCATATTCTGTGTGACTTTTTCTATCACATGTTTTTGTTATTTTAAAACTTTATCTACTATATTTAATATTGATCGAGATAGTTTGACAGATTGTAAAGAAAGAATAGATAGATGGGACAAATTAGAAAGACAAGCG